AATGACGTTATCGTACGATTTAATGATCATCGATTTAATGATCGTTGATGATCTCCACAGCGATTCATTTGTCACTTACGCGTCTCGCGCGTATAATATAATAAATAAATATCGCGCATATATAGGACATTGATATCATAAATCTTATTACCTTCTGCACAACTGTTTATCACATCGGTGAAATAACTGACCAGCTCGCGACGTTTGTATCGCGAGGCCAAGCAACTGCGTTCCATTTCCGAAAACAGTCTGTCGAAATAGCAATCTATCAGTACCTCCATGATTTTCAAGTGATTTTAATTAGACAACGCGCAACACAAAAAATTTAGTATAATTTCAATGACAGGTAAGTATCGCGTAATAGTATCGTCGCAAATGTTCACGTTTTAATGATTATCAACAGAAGAAACGAGTCAGAACTCACACGGCGAGGCTAATTCGATTAGACGTGAAATACGCATTTTAGAGGCTTCTTTGATGCACCCTAGGAGACCATTTACATCCATGCTGAAAAAAGGGCTGGGGCAGGCTTCTTATACTTGATATATATGTAAAAGTCAAGGTTTTAAATGCAATAAATCCCTGCATTGAATTGAAAAAATTAAAAAAAAATTTTTTTAAAAATTGAATAAAGAAATGATACTAATAAAAAATCAGCATTTTGAGATAATAAAAGGAAATCAATCTCCTAAAGATATTAGTCTTTACATTCTTTCATTATCTTAAAAATTTTAATTTTTTACTTGGTATCGTTTTCCTTTCAACGTAGCAAAATATTTCAAAAAAGGGAGTGATAACATGCCATTTCTTTTTTAAACCCATAATTAGAACATACATTCTACTGATCCTAATGACTCAGAGACTTTTTCTAAGAATTTTTAAGTAATAATTTAGAATATTTTATATTTTATAGTTCTAAAAAATTTAAAAAAAAATTTTTTTAAATAAAATTGTATGATTTTTAGTGTAAGAAAATGTGTTACAGATTAAATGGCTATTATATTAGCGTTAAGGTTTTCACAAACGTTTATACGATTTGTTGCAGATATCTCTGTATGCCTGAAAATCAAGATCCACAATTTCTTTTGGAATATAGAGGTCCTGTCTCTATGAAAGGAAAATCCGAGCCTATGAACGTGTGGTTCCTGTCCAGAGAAAGAGAGCTAACATCGTAAATTATTTTACAGCAATGAATTTTATAGCAATAATTTCGAGAAATCATTTTGGAGATTAAAAAAATATGAATGTAATAAAATTCATATATTTATTTAAGAAAAAAAGCTAATAATTAAAATAATGTTTTAACAATAAGTCTGTTTCGTTCAAGTTATGATTATATATTTAATATATCAAAAAATTTATAAAGAAGTTACCGTCATATCGAGACATCGTCAATGTCCCACAATCATTCACAAGCAAATTGTAAAGTCGAATCGAGCGTCGACACTTCGTCTTCGACTCGATAGGCTGTTCAGCAATCGTGTACAAGGCAATCAAATATAATCGTTATTTATTTGGCGACATTACAGCGGTAAAATTTCCTTTCCCGTTTCGCACGATCCACTCGACAGGTCATCGATAACCGCTTCCAGCGTGGAGGTCACCAACGTGAAATGTCCTTTGCCCTCTTAGTTGGAAAAAATCAACAAGAATAACAGATAGATGGCCTATGCTGTGCTCACAAATAGAAGGTGTAACGGAACTTGTTCTAGTCACCTTTAAGCCTAATACACGTTACAAGGTCAATTTAATGGATTTTACAAACATTCTATTCGGTCTTAAGAACACTAATGATGTCTATTTCTTTGATGTCTTTTTCTGTCTTACACAATGAAGCTTTATATAAATTCAAAAAATAACATATTAAACTATCTTTAAAAGTAGTTACATTTATTTTTCTGTGCAATTGTTGCACAGAAGCAACTTAAGCAAAACTCAATGTCATTATTGTCCAATTGATATATCGTTTTAAGATGTCCTAAATTTATATGCGATTCTTTAATATAAATCGATCATTTAATATAAATAATTATCAAGATACACATTGAGTTGGAACAAAAGTCCGGAGAATTACTTAATTTGTATCATGGTTTAGAAAAATGTGATACAAATGAAGTACATGTTTAAAAAAAAATTGTATATCATTATATATCATTCGATAAACTAAAATTTCAGCTTTAATAATTTTTTTAATTATGGTATTAATTTTTAATGCAATTATGAGCAATCAAAGTTAAAATGCTTCTTTTATTTCTTTTATAATACATGCTAATTCAGTAACAAAAAAATCAGAAATATCTTTAAGAAACAATTAAAGAAAACTTTAAATTTTCATATTAGAAAGTCCAAAATTTTTGCAAGTTTTTTTTACATGATAGGTCTACAAAGTGAGAAGAAAATTTTGTCCAATAGTTTTCTAAGTAAGAATTATTAAACTCACAAAACTCAAAAAACATAATAACTTTTAAAATACAAGAAGTGTAAAGACTCGAGTGATATACAATCATAAAAATAAAAAGAAAAGCCTATAAGAGTCGACACAAGTTATTTGTATGTAAAAAAATGTAATTATTGATAAAAATCTAGACATTTTGACCTTATAATTTTTTTATCTTCAGTAATTGACGCAATATAAACTATAAAAGATGTGATGACGCAATATAAAAATAAAAGATGTGTCATAATTTAAGTTCACTTTTAATTATAATGCTAAGTTCGACTATTGCTTATTAAAATTTTTATTATTACAACAATGGTATCATTTTATCGATTGACTCACGTACACATTCAAATAAATACTATACGTTTCAAGATTTTTAATTTGGACGCATTTTATATTTTGTATATTTATCAAATGACTTAGTTTAATAAATAGCGTATAGCTTACATTGCGTCAATTACTGAAGATGATCAAAATTATATGATCGCAACATCTAGATTTTTATCAATAAACATTACATTTTTTACGCACAAATAACTTGCATCGGCTCATAAATTTTTCTTTTTAGTCTTGTAATGACTTTTCAAAAATAAAAATTTTAAAGTTTTAAATCCTTTTTTAAATTTAAATTTTGTTCGTTGTTTACAATTGTTTTAATTTTAAAATTCGCAGCGATACGAACTTTTATTCTTGTCCAATATATAATTTGATAAAAAAAATTTATGCACAGAGGAGCCATATTCTATTTATAACTTTTAACGACAATGTCGATATCGTTATGCGTCCTTGCGCAGTTTTTTTTACTATATATGAAATATCTGTGCAACCATGCTATAACGATATCGACATTATCGTTAAGAGTTACAAAATAGGGGAACATCATAAGAACCATTATCTCGGAAACAATGACATACGACAAAGACCAGAACTATTTCAATTTCTCTTTACAAGCTCTACGAGGAAGATCGAACGCATCAATGCTATATTTATCATCGTTATCGAAAAACCGTCTAAACCTAACGTCTAAACCTTTGTGCTATTCTTTTCCTTCCAAAGAATGTATATATATATATATATATATA